GGTGAGCAATGACAGTAATAGATTTATATTGAATCCACGTCGAATTAATATCATTCAATTGTGTATTTTCGACCAGTCGCGGGGAGACGCGTTCGCGAGGAAACGCGTCAACGGGAGTCGTAAATTCCCATTACGATTGTAATAATCGATGCCGCGAACAGATCGATCCCTTGATTTCCGTTGAGATAATAGGGGTGGTTGTGGTGGTATAACGCTGCGATTAACAGGGTTATAAACTATGTATTTCCAACAACTTGACACAAGATAGTAACGTTTATGCGTAAGATGCAAGTGAAGAATAAATGGATTACTCTTAGATGAGAGAATCACTGTAGAGATGATGACTGATCTGAAGACAGAGCTCGAGTCCTGGTAGATATGTTGTCGTCGAAGAAGTCTTGAGGTGTTGAGTCTGTCAGAACTGAGAGATAACTTCTGTTCTCATGTAATTACGAGGAGGAAAGCTCGGTGTGTAGGTATTTTTTTGAACGGAGGAAGCGGATTCGTTGTTCACACTTTTCGTTATGAAAAGTGAGGGTAACGATCCGCGATACCCATTGGTTGTGACCAGCGTTAATGAATGAAGATAGAAGGAGGAAGCCTTCTACCAACGTGGCTCACGGGTGACCTTGTTCATGGAAATACCCAGCATTTTCCATTAGGTAAATGTACGTTTTTCCCCTTTATATAACTATCAGCTTTTTCCGTAGTTTCTAAGAACGCACAATAAACCTAAGGACTTTTCTAAGGACCATACATGTAGTATCGTGGAAAAAAGGCTTGTGATGGCACTCGATAGCAAATACCACCACTCGACACTAACCAGTGTCGGACGACGGCAGCGCAGTGGTTACACCGACGCATAATATAGTATGGCTACGTTGTACCGTCGCGTATCGGTACCTTTGCCTAACACATCATTACCAAAATTCACAGTTTATTGTGAATACCAAAATGTACTTAAAATTGTATCTTGGGTTAAATAAACATCATTAAAAAAAAAAAGAACGACGGCAGCGCAGTGGTTAGCGCCTTAGGTTGTGAACGTTCGGAACCCGAGTTCAAATCCCGGCGAACGGAGTCCAATTTTTCTTCCACGATACAAAAAATGAGAAGAAAAGCGGTGTACCCAGCAGCGACATCTACAGCGCTAAGCAACTCACGATACTACATACATAAATCGGAAACATTTACGGAATTAAGGATTTGCACGTTAAAGATGAATAGGCGCACCTAAAACTATTTAAGTTAAAAGTCTAAGTTAATGGTGGGTCCTTAGGCTTATTGAGGATCTGAATAACGGTCAGCGGTCAAATAACGAGGGGCGTCGCACGGTTTATATCACGCAACGTAACAAATTGTTTATGAGCCGCGATAATTCGAATCGAAACGAGATTTCTAAAATCTGATAATGATAATAATGATGAAACTGATATTAGTCAGAATAGTACTGCTTTTAACATGAAATACTAATTACTGGAAATTTTAATATATGTATTTTTTACTTTCAGCCACCAGTGCCAGGTGTCAGTCACACAGCCACGATTAACATAACTGCACCACCCGGCTACGTGATCTCATTCGTCAGTGCAATCAATCGAAATCCGAGGGTAGTACACATCAGACCTACAAAGGGTTATATTGGACAAGACTCGATGATCTTACTAGCTACTGGAAGACCAGGTTGGGCTCTTGCGATGAAGGTTACCGCTTTCGCTATTCGTTCTAAACACCATAGTACCACAACAACTAGTACTACTTCGTCAACGACTACGAGCACTCAATCAACCACTACCTCCACCAAACCAACGACTACCGGCACTCAATCAACCACTACCTCCACCAAACCAACGACTACGAGCACTCAATCAACCACTATCTTCACCGAACCACCGACTAAGGACACTCAATCAACCATTACATCCACCAAACCAACGACTAGGGGCTACATAGTGAAACTTCTTGCACCATGGAAGTTGAACACTTACGAATGATATATTTCAAAAATCATATACAGAGCATAGAAAATATAAAGATCGTAAATTTTTATCAGTAATAAAATAAGAAGCAAGATGAAAACAGTGCGATTAATATTTTACCATACTTTATTTCCTTTAATCCAAAGTCCCGGTATTTCCTATTCAACGTGAAATTTAGCTAGATATTTGTCACTATGTATCGTCGAACAACGAGTACGTTGAATACACGAAAACCGATTACTAGAGATAGAAGGACGCCTGGTAACGCTGGGAAATACGGTGCCGCGACTCCTGGTGTACACAAATTATTTTTCTTTCATACGGCTACACAATTCCGTTTTGTAGAGCGGCCGAGCGGTGCACTTTAATTTCTCCAGAGATTTATGCAAGCCCGACCGCTTTGAGCCCGTGTGCCACGCGTAATAACGGGGATGCGTGTACGACCTGCAACATCGGTTACACGTTTCCCGTGCTTTCACAGAGCCAAAATGTCAGCGGTCTTAATGCCCTCGCCAGGAAGATTTACGGGGACAGACCCGCTTCCGCTTTTCTTGCATTTGCTTCTGCTTCTGTTCGATTATTTTTCAAAAGGGTGAGAATTTCCTTAGAAAGCCATGTTTTTCGCACGATGAATATTAATCGTTGTGCCGTCGACAAATTTGAAACTTTAAAGAATCCTTTTTGTTTTTTGTTTCTGTCACGTTTCGTTTAGAATGCCATTTTTTATATATCTTTTAGGATTTTTTTCGAAGTAACTGTGTGGTTCGTTTGTATCAGATTTTGCGCACACATTCAGTAATAATCCGAGAACATCCAGCATTATTTTTAAGTGAAACTAATTAAAATTGCGTCAGTTATATTCCATTATGTAACTGAAATTTAAATAAGTTTTCTCTAATTACTATAATATTTTTTAATATTTTAAAAATAAGTGTTCTATTGGTTAACATGATTCCGCTATTTACTGATATCCAAAAGATATCTAAACAATGCCAGTCTAGACCGAAATACCTACTTTTTAAAACACACTTTTCACTGCAATTACTCGTAGCGATCACTAGCACATTTGAACTATGCGCTAAATATGTAGTAGGTGCACAACTGCTTCTACACTAATGAAACGATATTTTGATTTGTTCTGCAATTGGAAAATGTGATATGGCTCGATGTAAATGTATTAGTTGTTATATGAGAGGATGATTTACTTCAGGTAACGCTTCTAATCGTACAAAAGACACTAGGTAGCATTTCAAGAACGAAAACTTAATCGAACCGAATATCCAATAGAGATAAGATTAAAATTAATTGATTAATTCGAATTTGTAGATGAGATCCTTGACGATTATTTTATCATTTTGATTATTTCATCATATTACTTCTACTGATTGTCATTCACACTTCTAAGTACGTATAGGATTGATTTTCTGTTTCGTCATTTATTTTTTTTTTTTTTTTTTAATAAATTTCATGAAATAAGGGAAACCCAAAGTTTGTGCGAGATAACGTTAAAAAATTCTTCAAGTCACGTCCTCGTAGTATAGGTGCAACTAATTAATGCCTAGTTAAGGAGCACAGCCTTAGTTAACCGCTGAAAAGATCAGCGGAACGCTACCGATCGGCCGCTGTTTGCCGAAGGGGACGTCGTGAATAAAAATTCTAAGCAGAGCGTTAGAACTGAATTTTAAGAAGCGACTCGTAAACGGAAGTTTGTCGAAGAAATAAACAAAATGCGTTCACGTTGATCGATTTCCGTTCGATATCCACGAATTCGTCGGCGTTCGATCATTTGGAAATTACTAAACGCGTATTCGTTCTCTTTGTACGCGACGGAAAAGTCGATAACAAAATTTAATTTCCAAGCAAATTGTGGCTTAAGAATATTTTATATTTTTGTTACGCTAAAATTACTGAAAATTACGAATTCCAGAATTTCTTTCTTTGCAAATGAGGAGCTTCCTAGGGGACATATATCGAAAATGAAATGATGGATTAAGTAAATTGTCAGATATATTGTATTAAATTAAAGCTAAGATATATTGAACTGTATTAAAATTTAGATCTACTTCTTAGATATTAGCTGTGTTTCAATCGATAATTTTTGATAGTTAGAATATTGAAAATATCACTTATAAACAGAGGAGATCGTAAGGCAATGAGAGAGAATGAGAGAGAATCGATTATCGCGAAAAGTAATAGGTATAAGCGATCTGCGATAAAAAAGAAGCAGGATGTATATATCTCACTTATTGTTTCCGTATCAGTGATCGATCATTCTGACAAGCCTCTATTAATTAGATTCCGCGCTTGTCGAAATATTCCATTTAAGTTACATACTTTATGTAATTTCGAATATCGCTTTTCAATTATATTGTTTTTCTCTCTTTTTTGGTATTCTTTAACTACGATAAGCAGGATATGTGTCATCTTTTGACGTCAAAACCTCAAAAGTGACTCTTAATTCATTGCAAAGTTCACCATATATCGCATATATTTCGGGTTATTAGATCCCCCAATAAGTTTACAATGAACAATACTAGGACGATGAGTCTCCGTGTTTGCCTCTGGAGATAAAAATCGCACATCATGTTGCACAAGCTTAGCTGTGACTTCTGCGTTAATCCAAAAACAAATTTTCCACTTTTTATGTTGTAAATTATATGTTCTTTTGTGATTAAATAAGGCCGAACATCAACCGAACATATCAAAAGATAAATATATAAGTATAGGTAACCCCGGGGATAATATTTTATGTAAAGGAAATCTTTGAACAAAACAATCTACCTTTGCCTTTTTCCATTTCCTACTTCTATCTGTTTCTCTTTTCTTCCAGGTGGAAAAATATCGGCATTGCTATCTTTTGTTGTACAAAAAGTATATTCAAAGACAGCAGGACGAAGTGCAACGAAAAGAAAGAAGAAGATGGTTAGAAGTATCAGTCACCTTCGAAAAGTGTCCGATGAAACAATGATAAGCAAATATCGTTACGTAAATTGTTATCACGATTCAGCGATATATCATTACTTAACACGGATTGTCCGATCTTCGAGGAACTGTGTCCGATTGTTGATAAGGGGAACTATATATGATGTCGTCGCCAGTTTTACGGCAGATTTACGAAATCGATCGAACTGATCAATACCGAAGATAATCGTCAAGATGCGTACCTTCGTTTTTCTCTTCGCCTGTTTATCGCTGATTGCCTCTGCATGGGGTAACAACTTGATTCTTGGCATACGTATGTCTGGTGATGTTCTTGTGCAATCTCAACCCATCTTTAAGGTGAGCAATGACAGTAATAGATTTATATTTAATCCACGTTGAATTAATATCATTCAATAGTATTTGAGCTACAGTAACTCGAATCGAAACAAGATTTTTAAAATCTGAAACTGCTATTAGTCAGGGTGCTGCTGCTTTTAACATGAAATATTAATTATTGGAAATTGTAATATATGTATTTTTTATTTTCAGCCGCCAGTGCCAGGTGTCAGTCAGACAGTCACGATTGACGTAACTGCACCACCCAACTACGTAATCTCATTCGTCAGTGTAATCAACTTGAATTCGAAGGTAATAAACGTCGTTCCTATAAAAGGTTATATTGGAGAACAGTCGATCGTCCTGTTGGGCATTGGAAAACCAGGTTGGCCTCTTCTGATGGAGGTTATCGCTTACGCTTTTCCTTCTCGTGACGCGAGCAATTCCGAACCAACCACTACTGAACCAACCACTACTGAACCAACCACTACTGAGCCAACCACTACTGAGCCAACCACTACTGAGCCAACCACTACTGAATCAACCACTACTGAACCAACCACTACTGAACCAACCACTACTGAACCAACCACTACTGAACCAACCACTACTGAACCAACCACTACTGAACCAACCACTACTGAACCAACCACTACTGAACCAACCACTACTGAACCAACCACTACTGAACCAACCACTACTGAACCAACCACTACTGAACCAACCACTACTGAACCAACCACTACTGAACCAACCACTACTGAACCAACCACTACTGAACCAACCACTACTGAACCAACCACTACTGAACCAACCACTACTGAACCAACCACTACTGAACCAACCACTACTGAACCAACCACTACTGAACCAACCACTACTGAACCAACCACTACTGAACCAACCACTACTGAACCAACCACTACTGAACCAACCACTACTGAACCAACCACTACTGAACCAACCACTACTGAACCAACCACTACTGAACCAACCACTACTGAACCAACCACTACTGAACCAACCACTACTGAACCAACCACTACTGAACCAACCACTACTGAACCAACCACTACTGAACCAACCACTACTGAACCAACCACTACTGAATCAACCACTACTGAACCAACCACTACTGAACCAAGCAGCATTGGATCTAGCACCACTGGACCAATCAGCACTGAACCACCCAGCACTGGATCAAGCAGCGCTGAACCAAGCAGCATTGGATCTAGCACCACTGGACCAATCAGCACTGAACCACCCAGCACTGGATCAAGCAGCGCTGAACCAAGCAGCATTGGATCTAGCACCACTGGACCAATCAGCACTGAACCACCCAGCACTGGATCAAGCAGCGCTGAACCAAGCAGCATTGGATCTAGCACCACTGGACCAATCAGCACTGAACCACCCAGCACTGGATCAAGCAGCGCTGAACCAAGCAGCATTGGATCTAGCACCACTGGACCAATCAGCACTGAGCCACCCACCACTGGATCAACCACTACTGAACCAACCAGCGCTGAACCAAGCAGCATTGGATCTAGCACCACTGGACCAATCAGCACTGAACCACCCAGCACTGGATCAAGCAGCATTAGATCAACCACTTCCAAATCAACTCCCCTATACTCCCCTCCAAATCACCTATACTAACCATATAAGCAGCGAGCTATAACACCAAACCAACAAATATCTCCACAACTGGACCTACTATCTATTTACATTGGCATCCTGATAAAATATCTGTACCAATACTTGGTGCAGTGTGATGGAAATGTTCTACATTGAATGTATTGACACGAGACAATAAGCGGGACAATGAAAATTAGCAGTTAGCTGCTACGATTTTCAATTTTTTGTTAATGTGTACATTTTTCACTTTCGTGTCAGCCAAGTAATGTTCGTATTAACGATCTGATAAAAGTGTTTATATAACATTTTAATATTCTATTCCCAGCTTTGTAATTATTTAATAATAAGCCACATAATTATTTAATTCTGTTAATTGATAAAGATTCCATATATTTAAATAAATTACAATTAATTAAATAAATTGTAACTATTTTATCAACTTCAACATTCTATCAACAAGGCCAGTAATTAATATTTTATTCTAAACTTCTTACAATATACTAACTTCCCATTAGATAACATCAACGATGTTGATCTACGATTTGTTATTATGCAAACGATTCGCATTTCGCAAATTCTATCTTTCGATCAACTCTATCTTCTTAGTACTTAACTGCAAGCTTCGCTTAGTTGGTCTATAGTAACTTTTCATTATATAACGTCTAGGATGTTGACGTACGATTCGTTGAAATGCAAAGGATCCACATTTCGCGAATCGACCGTTCCTAATCTCGAGCAATTGCCATGTAGCTAGCGAGAACCTGCTATTTAGTTACCCTTTTGCTGAACGTTTCTCCGGCCCTCTAGGGAATAAATTAGAATTCCCACGGGCGAGCTTGTGAACGCGCGGAACAACATCGTCCTGTTCCTCCTCGTTGTCATCGCTTACGTATTTTCTCAGCTACCATTGATTCCGTGACGGAGGTGTAATTCGGCGGCGCTTGAAAATTCGAAGCACAGACGTTTCGTTGCTAACGCGTTTCCAGGAAACTCGCTTGCTGGCCCGATGCTTTAAGGCTGCATCGCACGTAAGCCACCACCGTTACTTGATTCGCTTCATCATCCGGCGTAGTTCGCGTAGAAGCGTCTTTTCCCATTTTCCATTTCTTTTTTCCACCTTCCTACCCCGCCTGTAGTCTATGTTACCCTTCACGCGAAGCGCTTTCGCGCACGAAAACTCGAGGCCACGTTCGTGAAAATTGTACTCCAATTTGGTAAAATCCGATTTGTATGGATGACCGGGATCGCGATATCGAGAACGTTGGCTATCGAACTGGCCGGCCGGCCGGCCATCCTGGAATTTTTATAGCATTTACGGAGATGAAGCGGCTACCTAATCGACTCTTTTGAAAAATTAATTCCTCCACGATACCACCCTCCTCTTTGTTAAATATTTCACCAGGAATCGCGGCCGCTTCCACGATGCCGGATAAATATCGAGATCTATCGAACTGCCCGGCGTAAAATGTTCGTTCTATTTTGATTGGAGAGAAACGATTCGAATAAATGATTCACTATCTCCAGGAAAAGTATTTCTATATTTTCGCCAGTTTATTGTAGAGAACAGGTTTCGTGGTTAGAATCGAGATTGGCAAAATTCTTAGTCCAATAGATTATTCCAATCATTTCTATATTGATGACGTTTTTACGAAGTCCAGGTATCCCATACATCGAAAAACGAATGTCACGTATATATTTTGATGACTCATTTATCAAAAGAGGATCGTATAAATAATCAGAAATTCCAAGGTAAATTCTAAGAGATAATCTTTTAATCGCAGCTTATGAGCGCGCGTGTACAAAGATCGCAGAAACCATGATAAGTAACTTCAAAATTCAACGACATTTTGGCAACAAGTTTTTCGTGTCAGATCAAGCAGTTAGTAAGAACACCTCTCGTATACTCTTGGCATACGTACTATATTGTAAAATTTGGACAATTGCGAATCGACATAGCAACAAACGTATATGGTAACATACGTTAGAAAGACACGCTCGAGAAAATAATTACAGCTACTCTTCTCGCGCCATCCAAACTCCTCGCCCATTTTTCAAGCGTTCAACGTTAATCCTGGCGTGTCTAGTCGAAACTTTGCCGCGTCTCCGACTATGAAGGCAGAACAGGAAGCAGTCGGAAAAACAGGATCGCGGGGATTACAGCGTGGTTATTACGTCGCGAGCCAGCAGCTTCGTATAACTCTCCGGAACCTCACTCGTAAACTTTCATTTCCGAGCGGTGAAGGACGGCGCAATTAAAGGGCCGCCGCGAATTTCTCTGTGGGTCCTGTCCAACTTCCGGTTTCTCGCGTTACGAGGCGAGAATCCAATCGATTCTCGTTTCGCTCTTTCGTTGCTCGTTCAACGATGAAAAATCGTGACGAGAGGGGAACGAAGAGGGAGAAGAGAGAAAAAAGACGAGGAAGAGAGGGGAATCGTTGTGGCGAAGGGCATTGCGACGCCGCCACAGCAACAAGTGAGAGTCGAAGAGTTATTGGACCCAAAAGCCTGTAATAATGGCCGGCGCGGAATCGAGCGGAATCGTTTTATTCCGGCGCATCCAGATCGGAGAAAGTCAATACAAAGGAGGGTCCGATCGACTGGAAAATCGCTGCATCGCGATTACTCTTCATTTTTTCCCTTGCTTATTTTTCTACTTTTTCCCCGTAGAATTAATATCGTCGGGGACGAGTTTATGAAAGTTGGAAAATGCATTAGTTTGTATTATTTTGAAACAAATGATGCGTGTTCGTGAATTAGAAAGTTCGTAAAAAATGATATCAACTTGGTATTTGAGGGATTCGTACATGGCAGAGCGTTTGAAGTTAACGCAGATGTTGCGTATTTTTTAAAAAGTTTGAATAATAATGTGATCGTGCTATAGGAATGTAAAGATAATAATTCGATAATCACACTAATGATACGTAACGTTGCGATTGTCAAGTAAAAAAAATGACAGGAAAATAACAATAAAAAAATGTTAGGTTCTTGAACCAGAGTTCGAGATACCTTCATTCTATAATAAGATTACAAGTTTGCGATTAGCCCGTTACCGAAAGACTGAAGCCTCGATCAAGATCCAGCCCTTCTAGATGTTCGTTTATCTTATGCCTACGTGCCGAATTCATATTCCCTTGTTTTGGGAGTTGGTGTCGTGTGCAAAGCGGTTCAGGTTTCCTGAGTCGGTTGTAGATATTCGTTAACGTTACACAATCAACGATTTTCTATCGATAATCAGTGGCAACGTAAACGAATGTTCGCTTTAACAAGGGTTTAATAACGTGAAATTTCCATCACTTCATGCTATGATTTCAGATTTCATCGGTTATCGAATTTACTTCTAAATTTCGCTTCGATTTTTGATGTATACTGATTATGGACACGTGATTAGTTAATCTCATAGTTGAGAGTAATGTATTATCTATATGTAATCGATGATGATTATTCGTAAATGAAATTTTAGATGACTGTAATTTTACGAATAATTAGAGGTTAGTGTATAAACGGGTTAAATTAAATATAACATCGATAACACAAGCCGTTGCTTGTAACTTTTAACCCTTTACTTTCTGATATCATAATTCAATTATGCGTCGATTAAAAACGAACTATCTCTTTGATTTCGTCATAAACCATCGATATTGTCTCACCTTTGATTTATTTTTTCTATTAACCTTAATGAAATAAATTCATGTTCCCGGTTTTCAAATAAATTATTTACCTTTTCATTAAAAAATGAAAACAAATATTTCAACATCTTTTTAAAAAATCACAGGACACTCGATTAAATACGAAATACAAACAAGATCAAACTCTACGCGATACGTACGTGCGAGATAAAAGAAATGAAACGACCAGGCTAATGCAAGAGATCAGCAACCTTGAATGATCAAAGTCTTCGACGTCGATTGCGATTCTTCAATATCTGTCATGTCCCCTTCCTCTCCGTTTCGCGTCCAGGATACACCGCAACAATTCGGCGAGTGGCTCGTGCAACCGGCATATCTCTAACGCATTAATATGCCAGACACGAGATTTTTAGCGACGCCATACACCTCGAGTTATTTCCTTCGTGAATGTTTCGTATCGATGCATCGTATGCAAAGCCTTCGCGATTCGTCTTTTCACGCCCTGTGGCTTGTAACTTTTTCATAACACCGGAAGTCTTTGTATTTTTGGCGGTATCATTGTTTTTCTAATTCATCAATGGGACCAGAAGTTTGGAAGAAATCGAAAGTCTTCAGAGTTTTTATTTTCATATTAGAATTAACAGAGCAGATAAAATGTAATTTTTTGGAGATCCGTGATTTTTCTAATTTTCCAGACAGATTGTATAGATTTTAAGATAAAATGTGATCTTTAGTAAAATATCATTTCTGCCCCCATATTTTGTAAGTGTTCATAGAAATTTGCATAGATCGCAGGCATTACAGCGATTTATTAATACATTATATATTTTTCTATATATCTCTTGTTTTGATTTCTTTCATGAAAGGTTTTTATTTTAGATATTCGTAGCTTTGGCATTAAAAGCCAATTTTTCACTTTTAGTTTATTTCTTCTATGCTTTTTCTGGTATTGGGATCGAGAGATCTATGGGCAGGTGGATCGAAAATTGATTTTTCAAACGCTTTCCTGTGGACGAACGCGAGACACCGAACCCTCGTGTTTATTTTAATTTCCGGAAAATCGTGCGAGCTTTTCCGTTCCCCGACCCTATCGGATCGTTTAATTAAACGAGCCGTAGATAATGCCGTTATCGGGACGGATTTCAGGCAATTGCGCGATGCTTCGACGAATTTCTCTCCAGCGTTTATTTTTCTTTGTTATTTGAAAAAAAGGAAATTGCTTTATACGTAGTATTCGATTCGTAAACCACGTAGATCCCAAGATACCTTTCACGCCTGTGCAATGTCTTACATTTATAACAATCCCTATAATTCAGTCAACAGTTACACGTTTTATATTTCCATCAATATGCATAATTCTTCTCTCAAACTATTTTACAATTTTTATTTAAGCCTTGACGTATATAGTGTAAAAGAGAAAACTGTATCATTTCTCAAATAGAGAAAGAAAAAAGGAGGAGAGGAATCGAACGTTAACGCGAGGAATTCCATTCGGTTGGCCGCCGTTAATCTCACTCAGTCTATTCCGCGATCGTTCGGTCTATTTCGTCGATGTGGAAAAAGCGTTGGCGATCGGTAACAGAATTTCAGCAGGAAGGTGTTGTCGAATCGCGTGGATAACACGGGACGTTCCATGCTGGAAGCTCGGTCCACCGCCCTCGGTTCGCTGATCCGAGAGATTTTAATTATTAGCGTCGAATGCGTCTCATGCCAGTGTACGCATCAAGTCGAATGTAATGATAAAATTATACGAAACGTTGTTCGATCGACAGGATTAATTATCGGGCGTGTAACACG